CGTATCATAGGGCTATACTCGGGCATGCGCTTGATCACCACGAAAAAGATTGCGGTATACTGAAGGGTTGTATCTCCTGAATAGCGATACGCAAGTTTGGCGTTAACGTTAGACGTCGATTGACACTACGAGTACCATTTGTGGTTGATATTATCCTGTCACAGACAAGGATGGTCCTGCAGGAGGCGGTTCGAAAACGGATCACACATGAGACGTTGGCACGAACACTGATCACGCGTACCAAAGTCTTGCTTGCCAAATCTTGAACAATCAGTGACATTCTTCACCACCACCGTAAAATGGTTGTAGAACAACCCAATTGTCTCTGCCTACAATTGTCATGTTTCCTTTCGTTTGTCTGATGTGAGTCACAACCATCTTTTATGGAACTCTAAGAATGTACCTTACTATAAAGGGGAAGACAGTAAAATGGTCATAAAGAAGGCAATACGCACCTTACTTTCTTCACTTCCTCAACGGTATTGTAATTCAGAGGTACTCACCATCAATGTGGAGGGATGTGTTAAAATGGTTAACGCGCCAACGAGTGGAATCAGTGTAAAATAAGTTTTTGAATGAAAAATGAAGCTATGTAATCTTGTTTGTGCACCACTTGACCGAAATCCAGGTGAAACTTACATTGAGTGCCCTCTAATTTTCCAGATGAGGATGAAACAAATGTTTTTAGGAGTGCCTAACTATTCAATCGTTATTAGCAGTCTTGGTGACACTCTTGATACAAATCGGATCAAATACAAAGAGTTGTAACTAATTAAGATCGCACCCTGGAATCAACATGGTACTTATGGGCATGCATACACTATGCATAAAGACAAGGATGTCCTCAAACGACGATCAATTGTTTGGGCGTTTGAGGAACCTTCGCTTCGAGCTTCAAAATTTCTGGCTCATTGTCTAAATTTCCTCGTCAAGATATTGAAATTTGGGTTTGGGATCATGGGCACTAACGAATTAGTACCAAGTATCGAAGACTTGAACAAAAAAGTGTATGAACTATATAAAGAACAGGCTCAAATCATGTTCTCTACATTCGACGTAAAGGATATGTTCACATGTCTAGATCACTCACATATTATGAGGGCGATGGACTGGCTAATATGTCAACATCTGGAAAGAAACAACTCGCACGTCAGGATAAAACTCCAAGGAAGGAAGATCACTCTGGGTAAAGCCAAAGGAACATGGGGCTGGAAAACCATAACATACGGGATCTAGCCAAACTATTGCAGTTTGACATCTCGCATGCTTATTTTCAAATGCAAGGGAAGGTATTGCGACAACCACTGGGTGTACCTATGGGAAAAGGCTATAGCCCTCCTATCGCAAACTTGGTTTGTAATTTTGACGAATATTTGTGGCTCAGTTCGCTGGGCGCTAACCAGAGATTCATCCATGGTTTATGATTTGCGGACGACGTTTTTGTCGCAGTAATTTACAAACAGGGTGAACCATCTCTCGCTTATCAGCTGATTCTACAATTTCGGAAGTGCTATCACCCCTCACTCAAACTTGAGTGTACATCCGTGATCACTGAAGAAGAGAAGAAGTATTTAGAAACAACCATATGCAGACAAAGTAAAGGACCCCTCTTGAGGTGCCTGCATCGATTGAAAAATCAGGAAATGCTCCAAGAGGGGCCTTTAAGACGCTTTCATTCGATCAGGAATTTCAAGAGTTTCAGTCCAATGAGAACTAAGGCCTTGACTATTATCAACACCCTGCACAAGATTATCATGAACACTTCCTTAAAAAGTGACTTGGTACAAATCATCAAACTGTTTTTTACCAAATCACTACTTCTGGGATATCCCATCCAGATTCTCAGACAAGCCGTACTGACTCTGAGACGTTCCAATCATCCAGATTCTCACTACTTCTGGACTTCTTCCAATCATCCATCCAGATTTTCTCCCCTGTCTCTGCCCCATTTAATTTCCCCTATCTTGCCCCCTTGAGGGTCCCCTAGCCAAGAGACAATGAATTGTTGAATGTGTTGTTGGATTTGTTTTTAGAGAATAAAGTATGGGCCTTACATCCTTGCTCCCTCCATTTCATAAGTGCATCGACGTCTCCATAGGGCCGAAAGAATTGTTCCGTCCTTCGATTACAAATAAATTATGTGAAAATCCATCCATCTGATCCGGAGACCAAGTCTCACGTAATAGAGTTTTCCAATTCCAGGGCCAAGTTTGAGATGTGTCGACAGTGCTCCAGATCCTGTCCCACCACCGCCACAACCAAACTGCCTAGACATTGTAGAAAGATGTGTTCAATTGTTTCCGAAATTTTCCTATAAGGAAAAGCTGAGCAGCAAAGTTTACACCAAGGTAATGCAACACCTCTTTGCTCTAGAGAGGTTTTATCAATGAGCCAATCATTAGTAGGGAGACATCGATGGTCTATCTGCCATTGCAATGAAGCAACTTTGACCGACTTAGTCTTTATTATTTTGAACTATTTGATACTTCTATCCAAGATCTCGGATCTAAGGGCAAATTGTTTATCGCACATGATGGCTTAAAGGCTAGTTAACATACGATAGGTTAATTTGACTGTTAGCGTGTGAAGAGAGCGGATACATTTTCCTTGTCCCCCTAAAGGAACCGTCCATATCCAAGATGTCGGATCTAAGGGCAAATTGTTTATCGCACCTCTGGATTCCTTTGATTGACTTTCCATTACCCTATTGTTTTATGTGAGTGAAAACATAGAGATAGGAATGGACCCATCTGAGTTTACCATTACCATATTTCCGACTAGAAGGGAGTCCCCTTGGATGTCAACCCAATCACCTTCCTTAATTTGTGGTCCTTTCTTGAGGATCTTAATCCACTCTAAAGAAATGGATTCAATTATTGTCTCCAGTGCCTCTTTTGTTCTCCTGCTATAGCGCAAGCAAGGTCGGAGGTTTGGGAGAGGGCGTCGGTCCCGAGCCTCTGAACTCCAGATATCCCCAATTCTAAGTATATATTTTCTCATCCATCCTTTCCAGGGCGAATCCATGCAGTGTAGCATCCTACCGGTAGTAACAGTGATCCATCTATTGTTGAATAGGGGTTATTAACAAACTTCTTCCCAACGATTTGGAAGAACTTTATTTGGGAGCGGTAGTTTGCGCCATGTCCGTAGCAAATCCGTCCAAAAGGGATCATTTTTTAAATCTTCCCTTGTTGCTCGACGATGAGGGTTAGTTTCTTGTGTTGAGGCCTGTATTCTACTTCTCTTGGGATTGACCAATAGCGGTTTTCCAGCCATATAAATAGGGTCTGTCCCCTCATGAATTGTTGGGGCTAGTCGTGAAATTTGCTCCCAAGCTAGAGCTAACCAAGGTGTGTTTTGGTTGAATCCACTAAATAGAGAGTGTCATTGTTTGAGTGGTAGGTCTAATATTCCCAACCTCCCTTTTATTTTAGGTTGAATTATCGCTTGCCAGGCCACTCTACTAGGTAGATTCTTGCAATCATGATTACCTCTCCAAAGGTAAGCTGTAATTTGCTTCTGTAGAGATTTAAGAGCAGGTTTGTCCAGTGACTATACTGCTGATTTGTACCATATCGAAGCAAGGATCACATTGTTTATAACCAGCGATCGTCCTATAATAGATGCATGCTTATCTTTCCATAATTCTAGTTTAGCTAAGGCTGACTTTGAGATTGAATCATTGTTTGTTGATGGTTTACCTTCTACAGATAAGGAGATTCCTAACGCTTTGATTGGGGCTGATAGTGACATCCAGTTGATCCTTGGTTGCTCTGGGGTTCTCACCCCTTGATGATGTATCCACCATCCTTGAGTTTTAGTACCCTAGTTGATCCTCATATCTGATAGTTCACAAAATTTATCCATCAAAAACTTAATTGCTGCCAAATTGTTAAGAGAAGCTTCTACCATCAAGGAGAGATCGTCTGCAAAAAGTGAACAGACAGGTATGACCTCCTCTGGAATATAACTAACATGGATTCGTTTAATATCCTTATAACCTTATTACATCGTAAATTGGCCGCTAGAGCCTCCACTACGAACACAAATAGGAAAGTGGCAATCGGATCTCCTTGTCTCACCGATCGTTCAAGCGAGATTGGTGGTGCCAGATTTTCATTAGTCATTATTCTAATAGTGGTATTTGAGTGCAGGAGCTCTATCCACCTACGAAAACAAGGATCGAAGTTAAACTTTTCCAAACATTTATAATTAAAAAAAACAATCTACATGATCATAAGCGTTCTCAAAATCTATAAAAATAAAAGCAGCGTTATGTTTGGATTGTCTAGAAAGTTTAATTAATTAATTAACAAGCAGTATGTTATCATGAATATTCCTACCCTCAATAAATCTTGTTTATGTGGGATGAATGATGTCCATTACTATTTTCAACAAACGATGTGTTAGTGCCTTCACTGCCAGCTTATAGACCACAGTGAGTAGAGTGATAGGTCTATAATTACCAATATCTGTCTTGTCTCCTTTTTTATATAACAAGGTCAACACCCCTTGGTTTACTAGTCCCCCCATATCGTCTGAGACCCAGACTGCATGGTAGTCAATGAGATCTTAGGCGAGAAAATCCCACATGACTTCCCATAATTATTTCGATAGTCCATCGATTCCTGTAGTCTTTTCATCCTCCATCATCATGAGGGTTGTCCAAATTTCTTCCTTTGTGAGTGGTTTGTCTAACATGGAACTCTGGTACTCGGTTATCTTTTTATTCAAAGGTTGAAGGAAGTTCGCTATCTCCTTCTGCCTTTGTTTGCATTCCGGTGTGAAAAAAAAATTATAAAAATCTCTCGCTATTTTCGTGCATGCTGCTGTCGATGTTTCCAGAGAATGGTGATTCCCTCGGGATCAGAAAGAGCTTTGATGATTGTCCGGCCTGTTCTAGCTTTGACTATTGCAAAGAAAACCTGACATCCGTAGTCCCTTTCGTAATATATCCCTTCACCTTGCCTCTGATTTTGTCATCGATGTTTCATGTGTTATAGTAGTTTGGACTCCAATCCATTAATTTCTTTATTTATCTTTGCTGATTGTGAATCACTTTTACATTCTTCTTCTTGTTGATGTCAGTCATTGAGTTGTTTTTGTATATTGATTTCCTCTAGATGGCGTTGTTGAGCAAACAATTTGGAATATTCATTGCATTTATGGCCAAAAAAATTGATGACTCAAGGCGTGGGAGATCACCAGCACGGAGATCGGATCGATCTCTTGACAGATCTAGGGAAGACAAGAAGAGGCGGGAGAGACGTCTTTCGGGATCTGGTTCATCAGATATAAGCAAAAGGAGGCGGCGAAGTGCATCAAGGGAACGAGACGGCAAGCAGTACGATTTCCCGTATAACAAGCCAGCACCAGGCAACATGGGTTGGTTCACTGTGGAGCTCCAAGATGAATTATATGCTCTATGTCAGGAATTGGACGGACTACGGAAGCGGGTGGATAAGATAGCGAACACGATCAAGGAGGAGAGTGTGAAGCGTGTGGAGTTTGTCATGATGGATAAGCTGAAGCATGCTATTCAAGATCCGCTCTCCGAGATCACTGCGAAGAAGACTACAGTAGCTTCCTTGCAGCAGGCACGCAAAGGGAAGGAGGCGGAGCCGAACATTGCTAGAATGACAATGGAGATGACGATACTGAAGAAACAGCTCGAAGAGGTGAGGAACATCAGGTACGATATAACGTCGTTCAAAGAGTCGATAACCAATATCAAGACGCCCGCAATGAGACAGTTTATGTCGCCGCGACAACTCTTACCAAACGGCAAGAACCCGACGAAGAAGATGACGCTTATTCCAAACGGCGGTGCGCCGAGCAGTGTAAGGAAGAAGATACGACAACATAAGGACACTTGAAAGAGCGCGGCACAAGCTAAAGCTCGACGAAGAATCCTACAGGGTATGCAGATTTCTAAAGACATGCTGAGTGCGCTCCAAATGGAGGATCTGAAGCAGCGCTGCACAATAGACAATGTCCGTTATAGGGGCATGCCTCAGGCACGCATGGCGTTGAGGAAGATCCCGAGGCCGATCATGTCAGATACCAAAGATCTACCTGATCGATCCGTCACCGGAGATGAAGTTCAGGGGAAGAACGCAGAAGAAGAGCAGTCAGAAGAATCTGATTCGGAAGAAGACGAGGGTGACTCCTCCGACGCTATTGGGTGTTCAGAAACACCTGACGTAGCGCTCACTAGGATAGACTTGTGAGGTTCACGGGCCTGCAACCTGCAACTATCTGGAGCCTCGCCGTACAATGCAGCCAAGCAATCCGACAACTGATCAATGACTGCAACTGGAAGGATTGTGCGACGATTAACAGGGCGTATAGTCGAGCAGTACTGTTACTTATGAGTAATGGCGAAATCAGATGGGCCTCGAGACTGTACTCCTTGATTAGGACAATCAACGATGACTGGGAGCATGTACTTAACGTAGATGTCGACGTATACGTCTGGGTATCACCATGTTGTAGATACTATTATGTCGGGAAGACTACCAGGGGATTGGATCGACGATGGAAAGAACACGCGACCGTTGTGCTAAGGAGAGGAACGAAACAACACAGAAAACTCTATTTGTGGGTAGCTAAATACGGGCTGCATAAGTACGTATGTATTCCTATTTGGAAAGGAAACGCGAACGTAGTTACGCACGTGGAGAAAAAACTAATCCAAAAATGAAACCCGTACCTCAACACGCATCTTCAGGAGAAAGAATATCAGGAAGCGAAGAAATCGTCGTAAAATTGGACTGCTTGCTCCTACTAACCACTCAGCGGATGTTCCAATTGTGTTCGCATCTCTAAGTGAAGTGACTGCAATGCTCATGAGTTTGATCAAACCAAAGGCTACCACTGAGTCATTCGGTGGAAGTCTGTGGGTTCATAGATTGAAGATTGTTAAGCGACGGTTTGGAAATACTATCTTGATGATTGATGAGAGGAAACGGTTATTAGGCAATTGCCGCGCCGAGTTCGAACGCGGTTGCACAATGGTGGTGACCTGTTGTGTTGAAGATCTATCATCCGTAACGAGATTAAAGAACACTCTTATCTCTCTCTTGCGCGCGCCGTCGTGGACAAGAGCTAAGCTGAGCGGGTATTCACTGACTAAGATCATAAGACTGTACTCTGGCATGCGCCTTATTACAACCAAGAAAAGCAGAGGAATACTCCGCGACTGCTTGTCGAGGCTAACCATCAAGAAGTATAGGGTAAATATACGTACACGGTTGACCCTTCGTTTACCGTTCTCACCAGATATCAACTTAATTGAGGTGAAGAAAGAATTATCCACCATGATACTCTCGACTGGTAAACAAAGAGCACTTGCCACTATATACGAAAAGCGTGCCCGCACTATATTTGCAAGGTCATGGACAGTGGGAGAAATCCTACATAATCACAAAAGACTGATTAAGGAATAACCTCTTTGTCCCTGTGAGCAGATGAAATTTCCCAAGGTCGATTCTCATGTTTATTTTCGCCTATTTGATGTCACTACTGATAAGTTGCTTTGCAATGCTAAAAATGTACCATACTCTGCAGGGGAGGAAAGCAAAGAGGACATAGCCAAAGCGATGGTCACCGTGCTTAATTCTATTCGCAGAAGTATCGTACCGAAGTCACCGAACCAGTAAATACCGATCAATGTTTGATTTGGGATTGCAACATCGATAGAGGATTGGATATTAAGACAATTTTAACATGGAAAAAGAAACTACAATCTCTTGTATGCTCTCCGCTCGATCGCAATCCCGGAGAGACATAAGTGGAGTGTCCAAGGATTTTTTGGGAAAAAATGAATAGTATGTTTATCAAAATATGCAATTACGAGGTGGTAAATTCAACTATGCAGGACATGCTCGACCGAAGCCAAATGGAATACAAGCAATTGGGACCAACAAAATTTTCAAAGTGGAACCAGCAAGGCATGTATGGCCATGCCTACGTGATGCCGAAGGACAAATATATTTTGAAAAGGCGGACTATCGTACGCATCTTTCAAGAACCTTCCCTACAAGCATCAAAGATCCTGTCACAATGTATCAACTTCTTGATGCGGACAATGTAGCAAGGATTTTGTATGATGGGGACAAATGAGCTGGTTTCCAGCATCGACAACATCAATAAGCAAACTAGGATAATTTTTGGCACTAATGCTGATGTCATAAGTGCTACATTCGATGTGAAGGACATGTTTACATGTCTGGACCATGCACATATACTTAAGGCTATTGATTGGCTTGTCTGTCATCACCTCCAATTGAATCGAACACATGTAAGGATCAAGTTACAAGGAAAGAAAATCACATAGGACAAAGCAAATGGTGTTTGGAGATGGAAGACGGTAAAAATTGTTGATCTACCTCGATTGCTGCAATATGATATTTCTCATGCTTTTTTTCAAGTGCAGGGATATGTGGTGAGGCAGATACTAGGCATTCCGATGGGAAAAGGATCTAGTGCCCCCATCGCAAACTTAGTCTACAATTATGATGAAGTATATTGGATGAAATCTTTGGGGAGCGATGAGAAATTCATAACAGGTATGCAATTTGTAGACGACGTCTTTATTTCTGCAATATGCAGTAAGGATGACAGTCGACAGGCTGATGACCTTTTGCTACGCTTTCAAAAGTGTTATCACACGACACTAAAATTGGAAGTCACCTCTAGGCTCTAACACTCACGGATCTAAGAAGAAGTACCTTGAGACGGTGATTGTCAAGCAGGAGAAAGGGCCCCTCCTGAAGTGCTTATATCGTTTAAAATTTGGTCGATTCCATACGATTAAACACTTCAGGAGCTTTGGTCCTCTAAAGTCCAAAGAGGTTGTGATACTTGGGACGCTGCACCGAAACGTAACGAACTCGACAAGGAAATCTGACACTGTAGATGTGATCAAGTGGTTTTTTGTTGAAGCCCGTCAACTGGGTTATCCAATATTCAGAGACACGCAGTGTTAGCTATCCGTAAAATAAAACTCAATAAAAAAAAAGTTGCGGCAAGGATCATACGTTGGCTTCACGGACTTGGAAAATAGTGACCAGGACTGAGTGACGATTAGAACGAGTTTGCATAAGCTCTCGGACAAACTAACTGTATTTACTATTTAGGGACTGCTTGATACGAACCTCTGAAATACATACCGGACTGGAAGCGACAGTTAAAGCGACTCCGACAGAATACGACATTTAGGAGCTGACTGAAATTTTCGTATCAAGCGCTACGATAATAACGGTTGAAGACTGTCACACTACAACGGGCAGGCCATGAAGACAACGACTCCGAGATATTTTTCAAACATAGAGGAACTGTGAACACCGTATCCAGCGCCACGATAATAAATGTGGATCCTCGTACAACGGGCGGGGCAGATGTCAGGTACCTTAAACATTGTGTGAGTATGGAGGTTCAAACCTTCAAATCCACCTTAGGAGTACTATGAATTCACGAGTACTATGATCAGATCGATTTCTGACGTCTCTTGGGATCCGGCGTGGGGACTCTTTGCTTCCTACAAAAGGACAAGACTTCTTATAAACATACTTTAAATCGGTCAATTTTTAGGAGCGAAGTGTTCAATTTGTAGAATCCTCTGCCTTGATCTAGTTTTTTTTCTAAATGATAGTAAAATCACATTCATGGCCTGATCAAGACCTGGAAAGACACTACGACGGAAGATGTCCGCTATTTGAAGTGCACCTTCCCACTCATTTGACAGTAATATGAGGCTTATACGGGATTTCGAGACTCTCATCGTTTGACACTTTCTATAGCACGTGTAGGTTCTTTTTCTAGGGAAGAGGTGTCTGTATGCATCAAAGAGATGGAGCGACTGACACAAACCTTCGATGATTTGCTCAGCCATCAGGTCTGCAGATCAAAAAGTTGTTTTAGGTGATTCTCATACCTTAATACAGACTGCAGGCTCACATGATTGTTTTGCAAACAAAAACCAACACGTAGGGGGAAGTAGCTTTGGAGGAACAAACAACACAACTAGAAGAGGACCAAGCAAGGGGTCTGACACTTGATCACAAAGACAAGGATCCAGACAAAGGACAAAGGAAGTTGAGAGGAATAGGACAACGAACTATCAAAATTATTGAAAAGGATATGGGTAGGATCACGAGGGGGAGAGTCAGAGGAAGGAAGTCCTCTAATAATTGGGGGTCCGGGGGAAGGGGAACAAGGAACACAGGTAGAAAAGGCACGGAGCCTGACACTCAACCAGAAGGGCGGCGCGCCACAACAAGGAGACATAGCCATCAAAGGGGAGATGGGTGAGGGGGCGGATGAAAGGTCACTGGGAGAGGGTCCTTGGAAAGAAAGCATGTTGTTGAAAGGGTTGGGTGAGGGGTCTCAAGGGGATGAGACTTGGATTGGTTGTCCTCAGCTGACTTGTGAGGACGCTCCACCTAAACGAGCAGAAGAAACCATGGCTACTTACAAAAAAAAAAAAAAGTGGTATCGGACCTAACAGGGGAATGTAAGTTCCTGATCCTCACTCAGTCACAAGAAGCCCCCGCAAAGACTCATCAAAAGGAAGTTACGCAAGGGGGAGTGCAATCAGAAGGAGGAGGAAGTCACAAAGATCCAGAGAAGTCATATTTTGGTAACAGGAGGAAGTTGGGGAAAGGGGAAGTTACAGACAACAGTACACAGGCGATTAATGGAGAAAATCTCTAGATGGTAAAGCCCCAATCAGGGAGGACGCTCCACCTAAACGAGCAGAAGAAACCATGGCTACTTACAAAAAAAAAAAAGTGGTATCGGAGCTAACAGGGGAATGTAAGTTCCTGCTCCTCACTCAGTCACAAGAAGCCCCCGCAAAGACTCATCAAAAGGAAGTTACGCAAGGGGGACTGCAATCAGAAGGAGGAGGAAGTCACAAAGATCCAGAAGTCA